CTGTTTATGAAGTCAGGGCTCCTTATGCTTTTTTTAACAGCTTCCTTAACATATCTTGCCATCTTCAAAGAATCTTGGACATACACCCTTGGGAGTCTCTGTTCCTGCATATCCTTTAAAACTGCATCATTTAGTTTAAATTGCCTCCTACTGAAAGAATTACTTCATGTTTCCCAGCTATTCACCAATCTGTACCTGTCCCCTTGAAGTTTGTTACTATGCTTCTCACTATGTATAATGTTTCCAAATCTTGTTATTTGCAGACTTTAAGAGTGTGCTATCTGTTGCTGTAATTCTCTCTTTTCTGTTCCTTTTGGCAATTTTGTATTCTTGCAGCACTGCACCTTAAAATCCACCGGCTTCAATTTTGTTAAGTCTATTAAACATGACTCCACATCAAATGACTTTTAAAAGCCAGTAGACACAGCATCAATCGTAATACCTTATTTAACCTGTTCCAATAATTCATCAATTAAATTAGTCCAACATAATGACCTTTAACCAATCACGATTGGCTTTTCCATATTTTTCCAAACACTAATGTATTTTGTGCCAAAAACTTCATTGGATTTCATTTCTTTTTAAATTCATTCATACACAGGATGGGGATGTTGCTGGCTAGGCCAGCATTTATTACCCATCCCTAATTGCCCAGAGGGCAGTTAAGAGGCAACCGCATTGCTGTTGTTCTGGAGTCACAAGTAAGTTCAGGTGAGGTGAGGATGGCAGTTTCCTTCTCTAAAAGACATTAGTGAACCCGATGGGTTTTTCTGACAAATGACAATGGATTCATGGCCATTATTAGCCTTTTAATTCCCATTTTTTTAATGAATTCAAATTCCATCATCTGCCATGGCAGGATTCGAACCCAGGTCCCCAGAACATTAGCTATTGCAAGTGAGGAGGACTATCTAGCTTCATCAAATTTTCGATGTGTTGCAAGTGGCTGCACAAAATTAACATTCTTTGCACGTTGTTGAATGAGCTTCATATTTGTTTTATTGGACCATTCTTTAGAGAGAGATGGTTTCTTCAAAGATATTGGTGACATTTCTTAGAAATAAAATGCTAGCCTTTTCTCTCTCATAACATGTAGATGAATGCCACCCCTGTGATATTTAAGTGTAAATATTACAGCTTAAGAAAGGGTCTATACATAGTTAAATGTTAAAGTCTAAAAAGTGCTACCCAAGTTGCATGCCTTATCTATTAGCTTTGTGAAAATGGCATCTTGCTATCTGCCTCATTTGTGAACATTGTGAAGTTACTGTGTATACATAACAAATATAAACAAAAAAAATCACAGAAATTTAGCATCGTTCCAAATTTTTTAAAATATCTTTTTAATATGTCAGTTGATAATTACTGCTGATCAACATTTCCCACTGCAGATTAACTGTTAGTAGTGTGAACTCTGATTCGTTTAGGTGCTAATTGTTGTTGGAGACTAAAACTGTTCACTTTGTTTTTATTTAATTTGACTTTCATATCTGTTCTTTCCCTCTTTTTCATCCTCTTTGTCGTTCTCTTTTTGTACTGAATTTGACATTAATTCCTCCATTGTAATAAATGTCTCCTTCTCTTAATCCTCTAATTACTTCTGAATCTTTCAGTTGATTGGTTAAAGAGTTACACAATTACTTGGCCTGGTTACTCCAGTCCTAGGTGCCTTGTATCTCTTCATTGCTCTCATTGAATCAACTCTCACTTTGGGTAATAGCTGCATAATAAATCGTAAGGAGTTAAACAGGCAAGAGCAGATCCAACTCTCAGCAGACACCATCAGATCTCATGCTACTGCAAAATCAAAGCCAAAATGGAAGGGGCAAAGTTGTGGTGTACGTGGGGTTTGGTACTGAAAGCGTCAATGCTGAGAAGTGCATTAAGTTCCACCCAGTAGGATGTTGTCATTGGAATTTGGGTGGGGAAAACAGCTTGAAATCTAGAAGGAGATAGACTTGCCATCTCGGTCTCCTCAAAGACATTGTTACTGAGGCTATCAAACCAACATAACCAACAGTTTGGTCCAGTAATATAGGCTATGGAACACATCTCCTCCTAATTTGAATATAGCCAGTTCCGTTCTCCAGCTGTTTTACTCCAGTTAAGAAAACATTCACCATTTCCCAAACAGACCATGTATCATGTGACATTCTGTTGGGTCAAGTAGATTTAGTCTGCACTGATTTGATCTGGCAAGATCCCAAGCCTAGTTACGAGTTCTTGATCTTTCTCTACATAAAGCTATTATAAGTAAATCCTCTGTGGTTTGTTACAGAGTCTGTGGTTGTGGAAATGCCACTTCTTTCTAACTTGTCTATTAATTCAAGGCTGCATTTAGCAACTAGTGGCTGCTGTGGAGAGAGAAAGAAGATTTGTGTTGACCGGAATTTATGGTCCCTGCTGAATCTGTTTTTAAAAATGCATTCTCGTCACACGGCTCTTAACTGCTGTCTGAAAAGGTCTAGGAAATCCTTCAGTTCAAGAGCAATTATGGAAGGGCAACAAAACGCTGTCTGCATCCGATGATGAAATAAACTTTAAAAGCAAGCTCTGGAGCCCCCATCTTAGTGATGGACAATTGCCAAAGCCCAACATTTGATGCTTCTTCATATATCTTAGCAAGTAAACCAGTCTCTCAAAATAACATTTGAAGTTTGGCTTTGGTTTCTGTACATGAAAGTCAGTATGCCTGCACTCCTGGAGTGTCAAAGAATGAATTGTCATCTCACACAAACGTACACAATTCCTAAGGGGTAAACAGCAAAGATGCAGAAACAATGCTTCCCTTAGCTGTGGGGTCTAGAGCCAGAGATCACAGTCTCAGAATACAACGTAAGCCATTTAAGGCCGAGATGAGAAGGAATGTCTTCACTCAGAAGGTGTTGAATCTTTGAAATTTTCTACTTGAGAGGGCTGTGAAAGCTCAGTCATTATGTAAGAGCAAGACAGAAAGTGATAGATTTGTAGTTGCTAATGATAGAAAGGGATATGAAGATAGGATGGGATTTTAGAGAAGATTTGTAGCCCCCTATACACTTGACTGCGAAGGAAAACCAGAAGTCAGGTAATCCAGCTCAACAGACTCCAGAGTTTAAATACCAGACGGGAAAACACAACGACGCTTCATCGGAGGCTGCATTGATGATGTTGCCCAGCAGGGTAATGAAACGTCTGCGGAAAAACAACAAACCAGCTCGGTGAGCCAACCAACCACAAGATAGGATGGGAACATGGCATTGAAGAATATAATCAGCCGTAATAGGCCGAATGGCCTCCTTCCGCACTGTAGGGATTCTATGATAATCTACAATGGCGGAGCAGACTCACGGGACCGAGTCATCTACCACCCCCCCCCCCCCCCCCCCAACCCTCCTCCTATGTTCACTCAGTCAATGTGTTGGTCCAGACAGGTTTGGACTCTACCTGTGAAGCAGGTTGGGAAGGCCAGAATTAGGGAGTTCCTGTCCCTTTATGAATAGTGGATAATACTGAGGACTACAACTTGTGTTACATAGTGCCTGAACTGAGTAAAACTGCTAAAGCCACTTTACAAGAGCATTTTTTTGACATCAAGCCACATAGGGAGCTTTTAGTGAAGGCAGTCATAGCTTGGACAAGGAAGTAGGCTTGAAGAAGTATCTTAAAGGAGAAAAGAATGAAAACGAGGTGTAGGGAGGGAATTCCAGATCATTGGGTCTCAGGAATTGAAGGTGGTGCAAGGTGTGACCACCAAGAATCTGAGATGTATAAGAAGTCAGGACTGGAGTAGGTTATAAGGTTAGATGAACGTATAGAGATAGGGAGGAGAGGGAATGGAGGGACTTGAAAACAGGGGTAATTTAGAACTACTGTAAATTAGTATGTATGGACATGATGGGTGAATGGGACTTTGTGCAAATTAGAATATGGGTATTTAAGTTTTAAATTACCTCAAATTTATGGAGAATGGAATTGCAACAGAGTAGCCAGGTCCAGATATGAGAGGGTCAGTCATACAATGTTAAGAATGTGAAAAGAGTGGTCAGATGCTAATATTAAGATTAAACCGTCCACTAAGGTAGATGCTCAGGCCTTTAGAAGTAACTATAGAAACCCTTTTCTCAAATGGAATATGTAGAAATGGTCCATCAGAAATGTAAACAGAAGTTTCTGGAAAAGCTTAGCAGGTCTGACAGCATCTGTGAAGAAAAATCGGAATTAATGTTTCAGACCCGAAATGTTAACTCTGATTTTTCTTCACAGATGCTGCCAGACCTGCTGAGCTTTTCCAGCAACTTCTGTTTTTGTTCCTAATTTACAGTGTCCGTAGCTCTTTCGGTTTCCTTCAGAAATGCGTTCAGTTGGCACGTTGTAGGACAAAGCAGCTCGAAATGAGGCTGCAAAATGTAAATGAAAATTCAGTAACTTCAGTCATCATTTTTTGCACTTAACGTCCTGATGCAGTCAGGATATTTCAAACATGGATGTACGTAGCTTATTGAAATGGTAATTAAAATTCTAGAAAAATAATCCAGAAAAAAAGTTTTGAGGGCATATTTTTCCCCTGTTTGGAGGTGGCGAAGGGCAAATAATTGGGTGAGTTGACTGTAGAGGGTTTCCACAATTGAGGGCCTCGATTAGCTGAGGATCTCATTAGGCAGCTCCTAACAAGGAGGTCGGAGCTCAATCTGCCAAGCTTCCTTGTTGCTGGGTGTTGTGGGTCAGCCATCATTGCGCATGCTCACTCCTGTGTATGGACTGCAGATCAGAGAATTGTCTGTATTACTGAATGTGCAAAATTTTCTAGTAACAGTATATAATCTTATTCTGATGAATTTTTGGGAGGCCTAACCGAAGGTTTAACAAAAAACAAGGTGAATTTTACTTTGATGTAGCTTATTGAAAAGGCAAAGGTCTTGACTTTTCTGTTGTCGTTATTATGTGACAGGAAGAATTTGTTCAAAATATGTGCCTGGTTATAATGACTCAAACAGAACACCCAACTCTCTCTGTCATAGGTCGAGGAAGGTGCTTTCGTCAAAGAAACTTTTGATGAACTCTGCTGGACTTTAACTGCAAAGAAGAACTACAAACATGATAAAAACGGAAACTGCATTATTTCTGAACATGATGCGTTCAGGTTATGGTGTCTGTTCAACTTTCTCTCGGAGGACAAATATCCACTGGTGATGGTTCCTGACGAGGTGAGAATTTTATCAATTGTTTACGATTGAACGGATTTCCAGCAAACTTTCTTGGATTGAATGAGTGGATCAGGCTATTGCCCTTTCTTTAATTTTGGATAAATGTTTTGTCTTTTGTCACTTACACATCATTGACAGTGTAAATGGCAACTAGAGTTTGGATCTGTGCTCAGGTTGAGTGAGTGCTGAATCTTACTCCTCTCTGCACCGTGGTGCTGGGTAGAATTTTTGTCTGATGGAGCTTCATTTTAGATTGTAAAAACTGAAAGAACCATGGATGGTGTAAATCAGAAACAAAAACAAAAATGGCTGGACAAGCTCAGCAGGTTCTGAGGAAGGATCATTCGACCTGAAACGTTGCCTCTCATTTTTCTCCGCCAATGCTGTCAGATCTGCTGAGCTTGTCCTGTTGATTTTACATTGTGTTCCTTGCTGCTTCTAATTAGTCTGAAAAAGTAGCCTTTGATACAGATGTGTTGGATACTGTCCAGGATATATGTGCGTGTTAAACTGTATGTCATTTTTAGCATTAGACAAGTGTTAGATTAAATGTCATTTTAACAAAAATGTAAAATCTTCACAACTTTCCACTGAAGCTTCAAAATAAGTAAAGCATTTAAACTGGAACTTAGTGGAAAAACTTGCGGGATTTGGTTGGAACATAATCCAGTCTCTAGGTTAAATAACAGGCCCATTTCTGGTTCACGTATGTTCGGAATATCCAACAGGGCCATTAAATGTCATTCCTGATTGGGAACAGAGCTGTATTAAGTTTTGAATGAATCTGAGGGTAGGGAATCTTTTAGAATGATAACTTGTATGATATGTTGAGATTTTGATATGTTGTACCTGACTGAGATATCACAAAATTACATATGAACCATACAATTTAGGCCATTAGGCTCCTTGAGTCTGCTCTGCCATTCAATAAGATCACGGCTGATCTGATTACTCCGCAGTCCTGTCCACCCGCAATCACATTCACCCCTTTTCTTATTAAGAATCTATCTACTTCCTCCTTTAAAAATTTTCAGAACTTTTGCTTCGACCACCTTTTTGCGGCAAAGAGTTCCAAATGTGAGGAGAAAATATTCTCCCTATCTCTATCTTAAATGGACAACCCCTTATTTTTAAACAGCGACCCATAATTCTAGATTCTCCCCAAGAGTAAACATCCTTTCTACATCTCCCTGGTCAGGTCCCCTCATTTGCTGTACATGCTGTTTTCCAGTTTGTGAGCTAGTTTGTGCTGCATCTCAGAGCTCAGCTATCTCTCACTACTGAGATAACATACTGCTTGTTTTATTTTTCCTACCAAAATGGACAATTTCACTTTTGCCCAGATTATACTCCATTTGCCAGATCTTTGCCCATTCACATAATATTTCTATAACCCATTGAAGCCTTTATATGTCTTCTTTACAACTAACTTTGATGTGGCATCTTATCAAATGCCTTCTGGAAATCCGAGTAACGTATATCCTCCAGTTTCCCTTTATCCGCAGCACACTGTGTTGCTCCCTTGAGTAATCCAACAAATTGGTTAAACGTGATTTTCCTTCCACAAAATCATGTTTTCACTGTCTGATTTCCTTGAACTTTTCTAAGTGCCTGGCTGTACCATCATTAATAATAGTTTGTAACATCTTCCCTATGTCAGACGTTCAGCTGACTGACTAGAAGATTCCTGCTTTCTTTTTTTTCCCTTTTTGAATAATATTACATTTGCTATTTTTCAACCTGGTCGAGACTTCCTTAGATCTAGGCAATTTTTGAAAAATTGAAACCAATGCAGCAACTATCTCATCAGCCAGGTCTTTTAATATCTGAGGATGAAGTCCCTCAGGACCTCGGCACTTGTCAGCCCACACTCCAACATTTGCTCAGAACCACTTCCCTGGTGATTATAATTTTCTTATATTCCTTTCCTCTCATTTCCTGATTTTTCTTGTATCCCCTACAGTGAAGACCAATGCAAAATATCTATACAGTTTTTCTGCTATCTCCTACTGTACGTTAAATCCTCAGATTCACTTTCTATAGGATCAAGGCTCACTTTGTTAATGCTTTATTAAAAATCTGTAGAAACTCTTACAAACTGTTTTCATGAACTAACTTTCTCTTGTACTCTTATTTTCCCTCCTTATTAAACTTTTCATTGTTTACGATTTTTATGTTCTGTCCAATCTTCTGTTCCATCTTTGTGCGATTATATACTTAAGTTTGTTACTTTCTTTAGCAAATTCATTTAATCACAGAAGCTAAGTCCTCACTTTAGGTTTTCCTTTTTGTTGGAATGTATTTATTTGGTGTACTTGGAGATATTCCTCAGAATGACTACCACTGTATCTCTACTGACCTATCAATTAAACTAATTTGCCAGTTCACTTTAGCTAGCTTTGCTTTCATGCCCTCATAGTTACCCTTATTTAAGTTTTAAAATTCTGGCCTTGGACTAGCTGTTCTTTCCTTAAAACTGAAATTAAAAATCAAATCACACAATGCTATTTGTTTCCTAGCAATCCTAAACTTGTTGCATAATACTAGGTCCTGAATGAACTGCACTCGGTTTGGCTCAGGGTGTGCTATTTTAAGAAGCTCTCCAAAAGCATTTGTGAACTCCTGCATCTAAGCTACCTTTTTCCATTTGTCTTTTCCAGTCTATATGTAGATTAAAATCCTCCATGGTAATCACTACCTTTCTGCCATGCTCCCATTATTTCTTCCTTCATACTCTATCTACCATGTGGTTATTGTTAAGGGGCCTGTACACCTCTTCCACAAGTGACCCCTTGACTTAATCACTTCTCATCTCTACCCAAAATGCTTTTACATACTGTTACCCTGAACTTGGGTCATCACTCTCTACTGTGCTAATACCATGACTGGAGCCACTTTTTCTTAGTTTCTGTCCTTAAATGTCAAGAATCTTTCACTATCTGTCCTGATCTGTTGTTCTGCAATCACGTCTCTATGATACCAATCAGATTGTACTTATTTTTTTTATTCATTAACGGGATGTGGGCATTGCTGGCTAGGCAGCATTTATTGCCCATCTCTAATTGCCCAGAGGGCAGTTCATAGTCACCCACATTTCTCTGGGTCTGGAGTCACATGTAGGCCACACCAGGTAAGGATGGCAGTATTGAAAACATTTACTTTGTATTGAACCTGTATTTACCTGTATTGAAAAATCCAGCGCCTAGCCACAAAAAGTGCTTGAAATTGAAATAAACAGAAACAATCCTGTCAAAAAGTTATAATTACATTGTGGCCTGGCTGTAGGAAGATGTATTTGCAGTACTGGCAGGTGCCTCGATATACCTTGGCAAAGATGTAAACCAGTACTGAAAGCAAACATGCACTGCACCAAGCCTGCTGCACTCAGCAAACCAGAGGTTCTGGAGAACTGTGCCAGGCATTTGATGGCATGAAAATCAAAGGGATGTAGCTACTGGCAGCAGCCTAGGAGAATGGTTACAGCATTAGCAACAGGAACCTACGGTAAGTTTGAACTCATAGAATCCGTACTGTGTGGAAGCAAGCCATTCAGCCCATCGAGTCCACACTGATCCTCAGCAGAGCATCACATCCGGATTGACCCTCTACCCTATCACTGTAACCCGGCATTTCCAGTGGCTACCCCACCTAACCTGTACATTGTTGGACTGTGGGAGGAAACCAGAGCGCCTGGAGGAAACCCATGCAGACATGGGGAGAATGTATAAACTCCACACAGACAGTCATCCAAGGCTGGAACTGAACCTGGGTTGTTGGCGCTGAGAGGCAGCTGTGCTAACCACTGAGCCAGCATGCTGCCTAAAGTTAAGGTAAAGTAAAGTTGCTATAGAATTAGAGGACCAAATGATTCATTAGAGAAAGAGATGATTGGTGGTGCATATAACCTGAGGGTCGCCGTGACTAGGGGTGAGTTTGAGAAGGTGGGACCTTTGTGGTATCCTGAAGGAGTGCAGGAGTTATACCTGCAGTGTAGGCATCGCTCTGTGTTGGAAACCAGCCGTCCAGTCAACTGAGCTAATCGACCCCCGTTCTCACTCTTGTCTCGAGGCCAACCAATTAGCTGGAGAGAGCAGCAATGGCTTTTGGACTGATAGCAATCAGTCAGACCAAAACTGAGAGAGAGCCATGCCTTGGAAGATGGATTGTTAAAGCAGACACACTGAGTGAAGATGGAATGATTGTGTCAAAGGCACCAGATGAAGTAGAGAGGATGGGAAGAATTGGTGGGGGGTGGGTGTGGAGGTTTGTTCATTGTGATTCAGATCAGTACTGTGGACAGGCAGCAACTGAATTGGAGGGGCTGGAAGTGGTGGTGTAAGATGACATATGGATAGAGAGAGACAGAAAGCAGAGAAAATATTTCTGAGATCTTGTCATATGAAATGCATGTTTTGGCTCTGTGCTTCCATACTACCCACGTGTCACTGATGGTGTAAATAACCTGTAACCACCATACCTAACTGGTCATCAGGGCTGCAAACCAGCAAACTACCATCCCTTTCTCTGGTGAAATGCCAGCCTCACTTTTTGTGTTGCAGTGCAGCTAACATCAGGAGCTGAGCAGACTGGATGTTTTAACCTGTATCCGTTCGTTCTGTAATACTGCAGTCAACTCCTAACAGACAGCTTCAGCACAAGTCTTAACTACAGTAAAGTCCTACTGTTCCCAGGGGATACATTCCCAGAGAATGTTGCAATCAATGATTTCCATAAATGGCAAATGAACATGACACACCCGCATCTGCACTTTTACTCCACAAAGTAAATGTTTTTCTTTAAAACCGTGATAAGTGAACATTAGGTTTGTGGTGGGTGAAAAGTAATGCAGTAAATATTGCATGGATAAGAGAATTCACAAAGGGTTGTGAATGGGCTCATGGGCTCAATGGTTGTAATGTGCTCATGAATGACAGGACCTTACTGCACTTTGAACTTGAGTATTTGTGCATTGTTTATGTTGGGTTAAACATGATCTTAAA